TCTCCTCGCAGAGGCGGAATTTTCCAGTGAGCTTTTTTTTAAATTCTTGATCTTGAAATTTGCCGCATCAGTGGTCGAAAGCCAGTTTGAGCATTGAAAATTTAATTCGATTACTTTGGAGCGGTCATGGTCTATGCAATTATTGACAACGGAATGCGATACGTTTGTAGGATCGGATATCAAATTCCGTCGTGGAACAGTTTGAACGTAACGGAGAAAAAACTGAAGGAATTCAAGTAGAATGTTAGGTAAAGCAGCCATAAATTAAGCATTCGTGGCAAACGACACAGTCGAATCAATTCAGAAAAGACGATTTTGAATGAAAAACCAGGTCGAAGAGGATCAACGATATTCGCGACAGATTCAGATGATACAATGTCAGTGCCATGATCAATTGATTAAGAAATGAATTATTGCATTCGTGTATACTTAGTGGAAGCGGTTGACTACTTAATCAAGATATGATTTCCTAAGCATTCACAGCGTCTACTGCCAACATTTTCACTGCCACGATGTAATCCTCGTGCATATTTGGATGATGTGCGTTTATCAGTCGCGCTTGACGTCATCGATTTAGTGAAACTCTTCGACGAGTTACTGCGATCATCGCTGAGTGCTGTCACCTCACTGGCACGCATGTTTATCGGTATCGCACGTGCATGCCGCAATCTCGATTCGAATCTGAATCAATCAGACTGCTCGACTTATACAGCTTTGCACATCTTCAAAAGTTGTCTCATTTGAAAAATGAACACTATTTGACTCATTGCTTACCTTGTGCTCGGTGGTGGTCTTGAGTTACGCAGACGTTCTCTCTCCTCTATATAGATCAGCTTCAACTGATCTGAAAGTCGATCTTCAAACGAAAACGTGAACTGGAGGCATTAATGGACATATAAAATAAGAATTACGAAACATGATGGGGTAAAAGATAAATTCGTCCTCGAAGAGAAATCATCCCAAACAATTAATTAGTTCTTCAGGGATCGTCGTGGTTTATCGACATCAAATCGTTTTGTTTTCTTTTTCAAATATAATATGCCCGATGAAGATGAAGGATTACGAATTGAATATGGTCAGAAAGAGCAAAAGAGGAACTGTTTATGGTCGTAGAAAACCGCTCACCATAGAGGAATTTCTCCCAAGCGTAAAAAGTTTGAAATTTGAAATGAGCCGGATTCAGATCGTGCATTTTGCAGAAATTTCCGATTAATGAGCGCACCAAAACACGTTCATTAACTTTGCCGTATTGAATCTGCATCTTTTTCAGATGCGTCAACTCTTGAAATATTGCCTTCTCGTGTAGATAACGTTTACTCATTTGCTTGCCTGAAATTGCCGTCCCATTCACTATATTATGTCGGCATTTGGTAGTTGCGAACAATATGCTTACAGTTATTGCGTGCTAAAGACTTGTTCGGATTGCAACCTTTTGTTTTGACTTTGACACGATGAATGACGTTGTTTTCATCGCAATTGTTGCGGTGCTTTGGAACGGCTGAGCTATCACGTAACGTTTTGCGCGTCTTTTGACGTAACTCCTCGAATGCCACCGAATCCGTACCGCTTTCATCGGTAGTTGAATAGAGAACTCCTACGAAGTTTCACTTACTATACACATTAAATTATCACAAGCATTTCACAGTAATAGTGGATAAAATGCTCGCTCAAAGTCACATCAACCGGAATATTGCCTTTCATGTAGCAGTTTTCAGTAAGTAGTATCATTTTCACTCATCGATAAAATACTCTTAGGATGATAAACAGTTAATGAAGAATGTTGTGAAAAACTCGTTTGCATACCGAAAGATTCGCCGAGTTGCTGTGCATCCTCCAAACGAGTATCGCANTCCGACGCCTCATTATTTTCAGCTGCTTGGCCTTCTGAAGTTTTATCGTCTTCTGTAGACACTTTTCGACTCGCGTTTTCATCACCGCCGTTAGTGTTCGCACTCAATGACTGACATTTTTTCTTCAACTTTTTCGTTGTACCCCTGGACGGACTAACGTTTTCTTTCGAATCCGTTGTGTCTGTGTGAAGTTCACGAGTACTGCGACTCTTCGTTTTCCTTGAATTTTCACTGAAAATTTTCGATTGAAAGTCAAAATCTACCGTAAAAATCGGATATTGTTGTGACTTGGATGGTCGGCTAATCGGGCAATGAAAATCTTAGAATGAGTTGTTCTGACCAACATGATGAACTAGTGTTCAACTGCAAGCAGCGGATGCTCCTAATTTGATGCATTTAGCACAACTTGTTCAAAGGAAAATGAGTGAGCCTGTTCATATTCAGTATGACTTCATCAAATACAAATTTATGATGAATGTTATGAATAGATCATTGTTTTCGCGAACAATTTTTCATGAAAAATATCATGGATTATTCAGAGATTTTCAATGAGTGCAACTATCACGAGCATTTAAAGATGGTTATCGCTATCAGTGAATGTAGGCGAGAAAAGTTGATGTTCCAGTGTGACCGCAAAACCGGTTTATCTTCATCGAAAGCATCTCAAGAGGGGGTCGGGACTGTAAAACCACGGCTGAGTGGTCTAGTGGTATGATTCTCGCTTAGGGTGCGAGAGGTCCCGGGATCGATCCCCGGCTCAGCCCCATATTTTACCCATTTTGGACACATTTCCGCACTCCGTACGAATTAGATGCAATTCTGATAGGTTCAGCATTCATTTCGACATAAGAAACGCTCCATTTTCTGGCTTTTAACAGAACTATTTTCATTATCGTGTGGTTCATTGGAAATTAATGAATGGCGATCCTTGAGTTTATAATTCCGTCCACTGGTTTTACAATAACTTCAACTCAACAAAGCAATCAATGGCTGCAACGTTACAGTGTCAGTCTTAATGTTGGTATAAGTCGTGATAATGACCATCGTGAATGGCTTTAGTACCGTTTCGATTTTCTGTCTTTTTCACTTGGTTCTTCTTCCTTCACGCGTGCAATTACACTCTCGACATCCGTTTCGCTGGGCGTTTGGCTATCGTTGTTGCGTTGCTCTGCGTTTTGCTGTCGGATCTGCTCTTCGTTAGCAATTGCAGTCCGTTGAATTTCTTCAACAATTCGTTGAATTTGTTGATTCATTGCATCGCGTTCAGCCTTAATTCTATCAAATTGCACCGTTTTAAGCAGACGGAAACAAACAGCAGAAAACAATCACCAACGTTTGCCGTTGTATGAAGCAACTGTGAGGAATCATAATAACAATAAGTAATGAAAGACTGTAAAGAGATTGCGCTATTGTGTAGCACTATCAAAAAATGTGAAGAAAGATATTTTTAATTTATAATCACAGAAACACGGGAATTGTCAGGCGTTGAGATGGGCCAACCTGTGTCTCTCCTAAACCAATGCCCTTTTGACTGCCCAACAAATCGGTGGTGCTGGTTGCTTTCGGTAAAAGCGGACGAGGCGAGGCACTGCTTGGACGCCGGCTTGAGCATCTCTGAAAGGCAGAGAAACGAATTCTGAAATGAATTCTAGGGTGGAATAGACAAGAATGATTCCTTTAATCAGAACATTTGATGAAAGCAATAAAGATTAGGTTTAAATTTTGAATAGCTGGTTAAAATTGCTCATTTCACATACGGATGTGTTGGTGGCAACGGGTTTGCTTTCCGGGGAAGCCGTCTGCGTTTCTTGTGTCATAATATCGTCATGCGATCGGCGGCGTCTAGGTTTTGTGCTTGATCCAAAATTGCGATCAAACTCTTCATTACGCATACGGCCGAGATCATGGTTTTCAGCAGCTGAACGAACGCCATATTACAGCTCTCATTAACCTTTTAGTTTCATTTTAATACAATGAAATATTGTTAATCAACTTAATATTTTTGACTAATAACGTCATTTACAACAGCTATTTTCCGACAGATTTAGCAGATATTCAAATCAACAACTTTATGTGACCGAGTTGAAGACATGAACATGGAGACATCTGTTATTCTCATTAGAGCATGATCACTTCAGAGAATATAACAAGCAAGACTAAGTGATTATTTCTAGACACAGAGTAACTCATTACCAACGAATCTAATCTCAGGATGACACTTTTCATCAATTCCATACAACTGCCTAGCATTTCATAAATTAATGACTTCTTGATGATCAAGCAATTCACTTACCCTTCTCAATTTGTTCCTCCAATCGAGCCATCCAGTCTTTTTGAGATTCCTCTGGAATTTGCTCAGCACTCTTCGCTGAGTGTCGCCTCGTCAAATATTCAACAACAAGCTCATGATTTCGCTTCTTTGCCAAATCCAACGGAGTATACAAAGAACCCTTTAATGGAATATGATTGTATTCATTATTCACGCAACTTCAGTTTTCGATTATCACACCAGAAGTATAATATTTCTCAACTCCCAACAGTGTTTCTAACAGTCACCAGTGTTCTTTTGAATAGCCACTTCTCGCCTAGCATAAACAGGAATTCCTTTGCAGACCTTATAGAGCATGATCGGATTAATATCAGCGTTTTTGGTGCATAAAATAACGACAATTTCCATACTGCCGGCTGCGGCAGCAAGATGAAGCCCTGTGCGACCTTCATAGTTTGCAGAATTGACCGATGATGGATGCAAAGCTATGAGCCATTCGACGACATCTAAAAATGAAAACCTGGAATCAGATTGCGAACATTCAAGGATTATAATGGCGAAGGAGAGATTTCCATCCTAGTCTGCACTTCTTGTAATTTTGAACTGGTCGCAGAAAGTAAATGTGATCGAAAAGTGAGAATTTTCATGCTATGAATATCACGAAGCCATTGTAGTGAGCAGTAGATGAGTGAAATCGATGGGCAATTTAACGAAACTGATAATTCTACCTTTACTTCCAGCTTGAATTGCTTCATGCAGTGGAATATCACCACGACGGTTCTGAATCTCGAAACTGGCTCCATAGTGCTTGAGAAGTTTCAGCATTCGGAGCTGACCTTTTGCAGCAGCGCAATGACTCGGCGTGCGAAAACGTGAATCCTCAAATGAAACGACTGTTCAATTGTAAATCTAGTGCGATTAGCTTATCCATGACAAAAAATGTGACACGAGACACCTCAAGCATAAGATTGTGATGAATACCTGATGATTAGCATCTGCTCCACTGTTCAGCAGCAATCGAGTGCATTCAAAATGACCAAGAGTGACCGAATAGAAGAGCGGTGTATCACCGTTTCGATCAGTTGCATCGATTATCGACTGATCGGATGTTTCAATCAAATGCGATAGAACATGCTCATGACCATGACTTGCCGCACAATGCATCGCATTCAACCGATCTCGGTCAACAGCGTTCCGGTCACCACCGGCTTGAATCAGGCTTATCATTGCTTCTAGGTTTCCTGCAAAACCAAAGTTGGATAATCGTTAATGAAGATCAGCTCCACCCACTACCGCCAGATAGGCAGGCTTTCCATATGATTGCCGTTTAATTTCAAGGGTTCATAATGACAATTCTGATATCTCATGAGTAAAGAATTGGTACACTGACGGTGAACTAACTGATCCAGTGGGCTTTAATAATGCGTTATTAAAATTTATCTGGAAGTATGTTCTTTAAACGATAAAAATATGTTGACTAATGGTGCTTATTCCTTATAAAAATGTTGAATTTGAGATGAGCTGAATGGAGCCTCTTGAATGGAGTTTTCATATGGAAAAATTAAAACCATAACCATCAAATTCATACAAATATGCTGAAAAAGAACTGTTAAATTATTTTTTGACAAGTGAATTTCACCAAATTCAATCACCATTGCTCGCCGCCCAAAGGATTGGTGTTCGTTCATCAAGATCCTTGCCGTTTACTTGCGCTCCATTCTTGAGCAGAACATGCAGAATAGCTTCACTCCGTTCCGGTGTAACGTCCTCAGTTATTGTAGCATAATGCAACGGTTGAGCGCCCTTGAAGAAAGAAACGTTATTTTATAAACCACTACAACTAATTGAATGGAATATTTTTCGGATGACGCTTTTCGGATGATTTTTTCTTAGCAATGTCTGATGAATATCATCAAAATTGATCAATAAGGTGCCAATTCATAGTCTCGCCGAGGTTCGATAACATAATAGATACTGGTACAACAGCTGGTTATATTCTCTATCTGACATGATCGTTTTTTGCAAAACATTATTCATTTTATGTGAAGTTCCCAGCACATGCTTTCGGCCAGCAAATATATCTCGAAGCGGAAGTATTCAGAGGTGGGATGGCACGAGTGGGAACATTGGCTGTGAGAAGTTGAGCGTACCTGATTATCGGAAGCGTTCACGTTAGCGCCTTTCTCGAGCAATAGAATTAGCGCATCCAACTGCAAATAATTGTAGATGATAATTTCTTTTGCTAGACTACATTTCATATGGGATTCTTTGTAAACAGCTTGTTTCCGACCCAGAAATAGTAAATTTAAGAATGTTCAAGGCGTTCACCTGACCACAAACAACAGCCCAATGCACACACGAATGCTTTTCTTTATCAATGTGATTGATCTGTGCACCAAATTCCAGCAGGATCTCAATCGCTTCTACGTTCCCACTCATTGAAGCTATCAGTAGTGGCGTGTAACTGAATGAAAAAATACTTCAACAATCATTTTGACGTGCTGCGATATTCTATGTTCGTGATGAAATGAGAGCAAATCTAGCACTTGTTATGGCAACAGGTTGACTACTTCGTTGTTTTACTCTTAAAATTTTTGCAGTCAACTAATATAACGCCTTTTGTTGGAGATTTCACATGCTTCTTAAGCATACATAACCATTGAAAATTCCCATATAGGGATTGCATTCGCTGAAAATAGTCATGAGGTGAACCTTATTACGAAGTACTAAACAAAATATACTGTAATCGAGAAACTGCAATTATTCAGTTGTTCTGCAAAAACGCGAATTCGTATGAATACTCTTCTTGAGATAAGATGGCGATTCTTTTTGATGAATCATCAATTTTTGTATTCCATCAGCTTCGCAATTCCTACACTCTTAAACTTGTGTCCTGTGGAAGATCAGAATGGCGTTCTTAAGAGTAAATTTGTTTCAGGATTATTTTGGTGGACCCGATATCAACACTATTCAATCCCCATGAAGCTTACAAACAGTATTCTCTTCCGCTAGATAAGCCCTTCTGTATATGTTCCTGATATTAATCATCTTGTATGTTTACATATAAACTGAATGATTCGATATGATCAGGTCAGCAACTTAGTCGTATTGAGCAAGCGGTTTCCTCTTTGAATGCGAAAAACATAAAACAAACCCATTTTGGTCTTGACAGTCAACAAATGAAGTATCGAGCAGCAGTATCCGTCTGAAGGTTTTCGAGTCAGCTGTTTCAGCTGCATAATGAAGTGCCACTCGATCTTCGTTATCTCTTAATGCAATCTCGTCCTATAATCAAATTCACTCCGAAATGGATATTACTTTGCTCTAATAGCATAAACAAGTTGTGCAACAGAGGATTGAATTTTTCTGCGAAATTTACGAAAATTACGACTCAACTTTATGAATTCAGTAGTTAGTCATGATGATTAGCAAACCCTTTCTCCAACGGCAAGATGGCTTTCACTCGCATCACAAATGTGAAAAGAGACTGAAATGTTTCGCAACAAATATTGCAAAAAACAACTGAATTTTGAAAAATTAATGAACTCACCGGGTTCTTGTCAAGTATACGAGCGGCTTCGTCCACATCCGACTCATCGAGTGCTCGAATCAACGACAAACCTGAAGACATCACTCGCCAACGTTGAAGCAGATGGTTGAACTGAGCAACGAAATGAAGAACACCTGAAAAAATGATGAACTAGTAGCGCAAAATGGTATATCTTGGAAAATACGAGAGGATTAAAGAAAGTTTAGTTCTGCGCAAAATCCTCCGATTTTTGAAGCTCAGTCAGTTCCTTTTAGACTTATCCATAAAACAATGCAAAAACAATGTGGGAACAATGAAATTGCAATTCATTTCCACTGCAGCTTCTAGGCTAGTCTAAACGCATACAACTACTGCAATATACCCAGCAAATATAAACTTCCGTTCACTCCATGACACGACTCATACTCATTGTCAGATTACTGAGCCGTCGAGAATTTATGAATTTCAAAGATATACATTTTTTGATAACAGTGAAAGATATATGAAATATAGCATACTTTATACGAACAAGCAGGGCTTGATGGAAGGAGGAGTGGTCACATTGATTACGCGTTAATTCTGATGAGGAAAACTGTTAGCGACGAAGCAATTAGTGTCTACTGACAACATTATTACGGCTGCAATTGATTCGGAATTGCATCAATGAAGCGACATCATCTTGGCTGAGCAACCACTGACTGACGCGGAGTACAGAACAAAAATTGCTTAGCGCAATTTCATAAGCACCTAAGCTTCGTTCGGTTGCTAAGTAATTGGTCGCGGCTGTCATAACGCATAGATTAGGAGCCATCATGGAAGCATAACGAGCGGTGTGTTATTATTTGGTGTACATCACTGAGAGTGTTCCGTGAATCGGTGATGCATTCCAAGCATAAGTAAGCATCGAGTTATTTTCGATGATTGAGCATCGTTTTGCAATAACGATAATGATCGTGTTTATCTGATCTTGTTATTGTGGCAGCTTGAAAATTGCTCCCAGGTGTTTCTTTCTGATGACATGTAGCCGAACACAACAATCCTGATATTGTTATTGTAACAGCTCGGAAATCACTTTAAGTTGTTTGTTTCAGAATACTCGTTTAGCCGAACACAATCCCCATCATCGCTTCAGTTTTGCTTTTGGTTTTCACCATTTACCACTTTTGAATGCTTCAACTTTCTATTGCATAAGTTGTACAATCAAAAATCAGTGAGTGGCATCAAATTTTCATAAGTGACTTAAGGAATCGAAAACGCCCATGTNAGTATGCATATGAGAGAATCATTTAAAGGATTTATTATGATTTTACGAGAGTTTTGATCGGTTGATGATGATAATCAATTAGATGATGTGTTCAAGCGATATTCATCATTCATGCGTAGAAAAGTATTCAACAATAAGAACTGCCATGTACATGCGGAAATATTTACAATAACAACAACAACGATTCGAAGTATTATACTGCAAGAATACAGCTTATTACGTTCGATCACATCACAGGCGAAGTAATCGAACGGAGTCAATTCAGCGGAAAATGCCACAAATGTTAATCATATAAAAGCAAACGATTATTCTAAATTTATATCATAGAAAAAAGATTTTTCAAACAATACGATAAATACGATAAACTACAAAATGTTTCTTCAACAGGAATTTCGTTGGAAGTTCAAATTGGACATTATATGGCAAGTGAACGTAGAAAGTGATATTTAGTGATTTACAATCCATCGACTTCATTCATTTACATGTGAAGATTTCAGTTTGACACTTACGGATGAAATGCATTGCAGTTATAATCATTCAGTGACACTTTTGCCTTTCGTCAAGTTTTCATACATTTGAAATAAGTAATTTGACAGGAACAATGGTTGTAGTTGCTCTTCCTTAAACTGCAAGTAGTTCCTCTTGTTCACGTTCTTTCGAATGAGTGATGGGTGACTTTGGAGGAACACCAACAGTTTCGAAGAATGTCTTGGCATCTTTAGCATCATCTTTTGCCTGAACCAATTCACCTTTAGCTTGTAAACTTGTCGTTGTATACAATTACCGCAATAAATTTCATTTTCTGCACAAAACAACAAACAAAAATTTACTCCATTTGAATTATATATCACATTAACGTTGAAATCATTATTCGGAGATGTACAGTAATGTGCAGGATTTCGAAGACCTTTAAAATATCCGATCTTGTCAGAAATACGAGTAATCGCCACTTTGAATGACCTTTAGAAGAATATTAATTGGTCGTTGCAGTTTTCATTGGAACATATGAAAACATTCAGTTGAGAACAGTGCTGAAACTGTTTCTCGTGCTCCAAACAAACGAGTGCAACCCAGAACGTTAGTGGTAGTTCGCTTTACATGTACAGCTGTATTTATAAAATGCGAGTCAGAAAAACTTGCCACTGCAGTGACGAATACGAGTTTATCAGCGGTTCGAGCGCCAATACACCTGACGATTTTGACCGGAACTGAACAACCGGGACCAATAAACGAATATACTGGATCAACAGAATAAATCGAGTTATTTGAACATTTCACCTGAAATTCATTGCTTTTAAGTTAATCCATTTCAATTTCCAGCTATAGGAAATGGACTTTTAACATCACGATCGTTTTTACTGATTGATATGGAAACAGATTTCAAAAATTCAAATTACTTTTACAGCGACACGCTGGTTCGATGGATTAGTGAGTTGAATGTGTTGCATTTGCATGACTGGTTTCCATAGGAGATCGCTCGGCTGTACGATCATTTCCGAGTTGGATTTTTTTGCAGTCAACAACTCTGTAAGCTCATGAGTTCCACTTGCATACGGGTTTTCAGCACTTGTGAGACAATCAAAGTTTCAATTAAAATGGTTCACAGTGATCGTTAAAGATGCAATTTAAAATTTTTCATAATCGTACCTTCGTCTTGAGAAAGTTGCGGTCGCTTGATTTTCTGCTCTACCTTTCTGCATGCGCCAGCAACTGGCACAGAAGTCTGGAAGCATCATAACAGCGATAACTCTGCTAGAAAATTTACTTCTTGATGGTGTCGTCAGGTGGTTATGTCCCTTACAGTTCACAGGGAAACCGATTTGAGCTCTTAAAGTGATGAACGTTTTTTAATGTTCATTTAGATTGCTCAGGTTTCTGCATCGGGAGGGAGCACTTTAAGAACAGATGGTGGAAGTAAACAATGGAGAAAAGAGAATATTAAAGGAAGTGGCAAATGAAGCTCAGCGGTAAACCTTTTTGTTGCTATCAACGACGTCTCCTTTGTGTTGAATTTTCTTTGCAGATTTCAGTTTTCCCTTTTCACCGACTTTATGCGACTTCGTATTCTCAGATGACGAACATACAGAAGATCGATGACTGCTGGCAGATAGTGTTTGCGTTTTCGTCATAGAACTATCATCCTTCTTATTCTGTAATGTTATTAATCGGCAGAGGATAATGTCTGCTAGTCAGTGAGTAAATGCGGCTTTCTTTAATGAAACACTACCGGATTTCACAGTCTTAAACAGTTGTCTCGTTTGGATCCCCACCAAATCCAAATTCCGTTCAATTGCCGTCACTATTGTCTAGGTGAGCACTCTGCATTAGTGGTTGGTAGCTTTCCTAAGGCTTACATTTTGCTGGGCCTGCTTTCTTGTCAGTTCGACTATCGGCGGTGTTTCCGAAAAAGATTGCTCTCTCCAGCTACTTAGCGGTTGTTCGTGCTTGATGAGTTTCGATAGCATTCGGGTGATACTTCGTTCGGTCGCCTTCGATCCCTGAGGTTCACTTTTCATCTTTAATGGTCGATGTATCAAAGCGATACACTGATTGTAAGATAGGCGCTGTTTCAAGAACTATTTCCGAACACAGTCATGAGAACT